TGTATTATGATAGAATGCTTTTAATGATATTTTACAGGGGATGCATATTTTTCTAAATTGGAGAAGAAAGTATGGTCATATTGCTTTTAGAGTTTGTGAATTTTTAGATTGCTAGAATTACCGTAATTTGGTAGTAGTTTTGACCATTTCTTTTTGGGTTAGTGTTCCTTTCGATTAAAAAATCGACAAATAAAAATTGGATTGCATTCAAAGTTGTTAAAAAAAAGTCACTATTTCAACATTTAGGGTCGGTGTTTATAGTTTTCTATGGTTTCACCAGGAAAAATATAAAAAGGAGTAAGAAGAGAAAAGGAAAAGAAAAAATAAGTATACATCCCATTTTTTTGTATATGCACTCCCAACAAGGGAGTTTTATTAAAATGTTAAGGTTAGTATACATCCCAATAATTGTCATTTTATATGTACAAGGCAGGTACTTATAATTTTTAAAATCTTGAGAAAGCTCAGTGAAATTGTTAGAAATATCAAGGGAGGTTTGTGTAATTATCCCTGAAAAAAATGCACTAACTCTCAGATACTTGTGATATCCCTGCTAATTTACAAGATATTTGAGAATCCAAAAAGTAAAAGTTAGAACTCTCAGATTCCTCTATGACTAAAAATAAAAGTATGGCCTCACTAAAAAGAAATGCTGTGTAAAGCTATTTGTCTCCCTTCTGATTGAAATGCATATACATCTAGGGATGTCAATGGAGCCACCCATCTTTTGTGCCATTAACTCTACTCCCATCAACTCTTTTATTTGCTACCCATTTTTCATTTTTGTTGAATTCATCTGTATCGTTTCCTAAAGTTAACAACGAGCAAAGTTAATTTTGTACTTGAACAAGTACTAAGTAGAAATTTATTGTCATGCAAACATGAAGGCCATACATGCATTAAATGAGTACCGTAATATATAACATACTTGAAATGACAGCTATTAAAGACTTCTAAAAATTTTAGAGTAAATTTTATATACACTATCACGGTTGGATGGATCACATATGAGTAAATTTTGAATTTCAAATTCAAATTTTGCACAAGTGTCATATATCTATCTAATGGTGATAGCGGATGCATAGACAGTGTATATAATATTAATCCAAAATTTTAATGCACAAAATGATTATTAGAAATCAAAGCACTAAATTAGCAAAGTTGCTAACTCCAAATTTTGGGAGGCTAAGGATTTGATATAAAATTTGGGGCAAATTTTTTATAACAACAAAATTTAATAAACTAAAATAGAGATATCAATTAATTTTGTATACACTAACTATATATACACGTGCTCCGACGAGGTGAAAGCCTTCAGGCATGGGGTATAAGCCCTGCGAATTTTCATTTTTTTAATATTCAAAATATACTAGAAACTATAAAGACTTTAATAATAATAATACAAATAAATGCAACAAAATTAGGGAAAAATTGGAAAATAGTCTAGAACCATGCATAACACACAAATTCACACCTCAAAGGTAATTACAAAAGAATCCAGCAAAATGACACAGCGGGGAAAACATGTCTGAAAAGAACTAAAGCGAAAGACGGAACGAGAGTGACATGCTACAAAGTGGAGTGGAACTTTTGTCTAGAAGAAGATTTTGGTTAGGAATTCGGGAGAAAAGGAGGTCAAGAGGCCTCTGGCTCGGGAGTTGTGAAAGTTGGAAACGGAACTTGACTTATTACCCATTGGAAACTCAACAACCCATCAAAACAACAAATAGATACAAAAGATTCAATCCCCACTCATTGCCCCTTGGAAACGCAACAACCAATCGGAACTACAAATAGGTATGAAAGTAACCATCCCGACTTACTACCCTTCGAAACTCAACAACTAGAGTTCACTTTGAAAAACGATATAAATATAAACATGATATTTTTTTATATGAATGATCTCTTAGCTTATTTCTGTCGCTTAAATCGTATTGCCGATTAATATAAGATTTTTCAAACAACAAATATCTATGAAAGTTTTCCGTCCTGAGACCTATATAACTTCGTCTAAGAAGCAAGCATGCGCTCAATAAGTCAATACACCAACGCTTCCAAAGAATGTCTAGGGGTATTTCATGGACACTTGAACATGCTTGAGGCATAAATTTAAATTTCAATTCTTGAATATATAGTATGCAATATGCATCACTATTGGTTAGTATATACAAAATTAATTCGTAAATAAAATGCTTAAAACTTTAGGAGCAACTGCCCCTCCGCCCCTGCCGCCAAAACTTTAGACGGAAAAGAATTGCAAAACTTACAAAAGCAAATGAATTCTAAAGAACGTGCAGCTTGACCGTATAGTGCTTTAATTCTAGGTGGAAGCAGCTTTTATTGAATTATTCTTCAGTTTGAAATGATTTATAGCACTAACTTCCAAGTTGAAGTTTTTTTCAAACTTCGCCAAAACCACATTACTTGTTAGTGTTTATATATTCAATCAACCTATGACTTGCTAGCCTGCACAGAAATTAAGGCAAAAACAAGAACTCAACCAAGGAAATGCCATCTTCAATTTCACTCATGCTCCTCCCATTATTCACAGTTCTGTTATCATCAGCTTCATTATCGGCTGCTGCTTTATATCATTCGATTGATGATGAATTCTACCAGTGTGTAAATCTTCATACTGATCTTTCCATACCTTCTTCTGGTGCATTTCATACCCCAGATAATGCTTCCTTTGCCTCTGTTCTGGAATCTACTGCGATGAACCTGAGGTGTTTGGCGCCATCTAGGCCTAAGCCTGAGCTTATTTTCACACCATTGACAGAATCCCATGTTCAAGCAGCAGTTATTTGCGCGAAAGAGCTCAACATTCTGCTCAGAGTCCGCAGTGGAGGCCATGATTATGAAGGCGTTTCTTATACTTCTGCGACAAAGTCCCCGTTTATGATGATTGACCTTGCCAAACTTCGATCCATCAACATTAGTATGGAGGAAAACAGCGCCTGGGTCCAAGTAGGCGCGACAATTGGCGAAGTTTATTATAGAATTTCGCAGAAAAGCAGAACCCGTGGTTTCCCAGCTGGTCTTTGTACAAGCTTGGGAATTGGCGGTCACATAACAGGAGGGGCATATGGTCCAATGATGCGAAAATACGGGCTTGGAGCAGATAATGTGGTGGATGCTCGAATAGTTGATGCAACAGGGAGGATTCTTGATCGTGCATCCATGGGAGAGGATCTTTTCTGGGCAATTCGAGGAGGCGGAGGAGGAAGCTTCGGAATCCTCCTTGCTTGGAAACTAAAGTTGGTTCCGGTACCGGCAACTGTGACAGTTTTTACTGTTCCAAGAACTTTGGAACAAGGAGCAACTAAACTTCTATACAGGTGGCAACAAGTTGCTGACACTCTTGATGAAGATCTCTTCATCAGAGTTCTCATAAGTGCTGCGAATTCAACTGGTCAGAAAGGAAAGAAGACAATACAAACTGCCTACCAGGCTTTGTTTCTTGGAAGGGCAGACAGACTGCTAAAAGTCATGAAGAAAGGCTTTCCTGAGTTGGGATTAACACAAAAAGATTGTCTTGAAATGAGCTGGATTGAATCAGTTCTTTACATTGCCGGCTACCCAGGAACTATAAAGCCAGAATTTTTGCTTCAGGGGAAGCCACTCTCTGACAAGACTTACTTCAAAGCCAAGTCAGACTTTGCGAAAGAGCCCATCCCAGAATATGCAATGGAAGGAATATGGAAAATGTTTCTGCAAGAAGATTCTCCGTTCTCAATTTGGAATGCTTATGGTGGAATGATGGGAAAAATTTCAGAATCTGCAACTCCTTTTCCTCACAGAAAAGGGAGAAAATTTATGATCCAGTGGCTGACATCATGGCAAAGTGGAGACAAGAAAACTACAAATAAACACATTGGTTGGATCAGAAAATTATATGACTCCGTAGCTCCTTATGTTTCTAAATTCCCCAGAGAAGCTTATGTGAATTACAGGGATCTTGATTTGGGAGTGGATAAGTTCAATGGTAAGACAAGTTATCTGAAAGCAAGTGTTTGGGGCAGTCAATACTTTAAAGACAACTTCAAAAGACTCGTACAGGTGAAGACAAAAGTTGATCCTGATAATTTCTTCAGTCACGAACAGAGCATTCCAACGCTTCATTCCTTCTCTGAAGGAGATGAGAAGAAGATGATAAACTGAACCATGGCTACATTTGATTACTAGAACAAGAAAGGAGATGACTTTGACTTCCAAGATCTGATGAACTTTTCTTTTTTATTCTGTTTCCTTGTTTTCTGTTTTTCATTGTTTCAAAACTTCCGAGTTCCAGTACCCGACAGACAACACGATGCATTGCATCTTGAGTATTCTCATTTACTTTCTCAGGGCATAGGAGTATTGAATGCTTTCCTGTTTTTCTCTTTAAGAATATCTAAAATCAAATTGCAATTCATCTTCCTATTCTGCTGGATGGCTTCAATGGTTTTTCCTCCTAGTTTGATGCGGCAGCGGAAGCGTGTCGTTCCACATCATTGTTCTTTTTTTTTTTTTTTTTTTTTTTTTTTTTACGAAACGATAAGATTTTCCATTGACTAAAAAAAGTATACAGGTGCGAGCAAAGGCTCGAGAAACTTTACAAGTAGTGCTCAATTGCACTGAGGAAAGAAACGTTCCTCATCCAAAAAAATGCCTAAGGCATATGAACTTAACCTTTTACATCTTGATAAATTTTCTTCACTAGCCAGCTCAAAAGAGCACATGCGAAACATATTCTGTAAAGCACTAATGTCATCAACCAGAGTTGTTAAGCAGCTGTCAGGTGAGCTCGGATGCTTAATCTGTCTCAGTAACGCTTTGTTGTGGGCCAAAATTTTGATTTTGTCCCAACGTTGTTCCAAGGCTTTGCACAAGACCAGTTTAATTGCTACTGCAGCATCCAGGAGCTTAGTTCCAAGTGTTCTCTCCTTCAAAGCCCATTCTGCAATCCTTGTTTGTGAAAATGTCTTAGCTATGACTCCAATTCCCATTGACATTTGCCTTTACTGACTTGTCGGGAATACCTCAAGGACTATGGACTCCTTCTCTTCCGTCTCTGGGTGCTGCACTGTCTGATTAGAAGCTGTTTCTTCTGTGCTCCTTCTGTCCTTGGTTTGCCTTAGCTCCTCTTGTTCCAACCACTCCTGCTGAGCCTTGTTCATTACTCTCACTGGTGGCCTTCTGTTTTGACCTTCGAAAGCCTGTTTGTTTCTTTCTTTCCACACTTGCCACAAAATGTTTGCAGTTAGTCCTATATGTTGAGCTCCTTCTGGTCTTAATTTCGCCTCTGATATCTTGCACCACCATCGTTTGAAATCTCCTTGCCGATCACTAACTCCATCCCATTGAATTGGGGCCACCTTCCATATATCCAAAGTACTTGGGCAGTTTAATAGGAGGTGTTCCACTGTCTCCTGGCCTTCCCCACAGGCTCTGCAAACTGGATCACCCATTCCTGTTCTTCTAAAGATGGCTTCCCTCACTGGCAATGCTCCTGTAATGCATTTCCATATAAAAAGCTTAATCTTATGTTTTATGTTTAAGCTCCAAAGGGTGTTCCACATCTGCTTCAGTTGTTGACTTCCCTCCCTTATGCTTGGCCCAGCTGTTTCTGCATTTGCCTTCACATCACTGTCCCTTTCCTTCATGAGAAAATTGTATCCTGACTTGACCGAATAACAACCTCCCCCGTTATGTTGCCAGAAGTAGCTATCCTCCCTGCCTACTAGGCTTATCGGAATACTCAAGATCCTCTCTGCATCAAATTGGTTAAACATACTGAAAATGACGTTTCTATTCCAGCACTTACGGCTGATGAGCTCCTGCACCATCTTTAGTGAATTGTTACCTTGCCTTGGGGTAGTAGGCTTGCCAGTAGGTGTTCCTGGGATCCATTTATGTTCCCAGATGCTTGTGCTCCTTCCGTTCCCAATCCTCCTAATGACACCTTTTTCTATAAAGCTTCTGACTCCTAGAAGCCCTTGCCAGAACCAAGAAACATTCTTCTGAGCTTTACACCTGAAAATGGACTCTTTGGGGAAGTACTTAGCTCTGAGGACTTTACTAAGGAGGAGGTTGGGCTTGGTTAATATCCTCCAAATCTGTTTCCCCAACAAAGCTTTGTTGAAGGCCTCTATATCCTTGAAACCCAACCCCCCATCAGTTTTATCCAATGCCAGTTTTTTCCAAGACAGCCAGTGTAACTTGCTTTTTCCATTCGTCTCACCCCACCAGTAGTTGGCCATTGATGCAGTGATATCTTTGCATAGCTTCCTTGGCAGTTTGAAGCAAGACATGGCATAAGTCGGCATTGCCATAGAGACAGCCTTCAACATGACCTCCCTGCCTGCACTACTTAGCAGTTTGTTCTTCCAACACTGGAGCTTCCTTCGAATGTTTTCTCTGATGAAGCCAAAAACTTGATTTTTTGTCCTGGTTATCACCATTGGAAGGCCTAGATACTTTCCTTGTGCCATTTCCCCCATTCCACCTAGAGCACAACATACTTCCCTCATTTGCTCTAGAGGGATGTTTTTGCTGAAAAAAACAGCAGACTTATCTAGATTAATCAGCTGACCTGAAGCCTCTTCATATGTCTTGAGAATTTTCATAATTTCCCTAGCCTGTTGGGTGCTGGCCTTACAAAACATGAGAGAGTCATCCGCAAAAAAGAGATGCGTGATAGTAGGTCCTTGCCTGCTGATTTTGAGCCCCTTTACCTCATTTCTTCCTTCAGCTCTTCTGAGCAGGCTTGAAAAACCTTCAGAGCAAATTAGGAAGAGGTAGGGAGATAAGGGATCTCCCTGCCTTATTCCTCTCCCTGGTGAAATGTACCCTTTGGTTTCGCCATTGCAGTTGAAGGAGTAAGTAACAGAGTGCATGCACTCAGTAATCCAGTTGATCCATTGGGAACAGAATCCCATCTTCTGCATGGCGGCCTGCAAAAAATGCCACTCTACCCTATCGTAGGCTTTAGCCATGTCCAACTTGATAGCCATGTATCCATCCAAACCTTGCCTTTTATTTTTGAGGTAGTGCATATACTCATGTGCTATAATGACATTGTCTAGAATCTGCCTATCGGGAATGAAAGCTGATTGAGTATTACTAATGCAGATGTCTAGGATAGGCTTTAGCCTGTTAGCCAAAATTTTAGAGATTATCTTATAGATCACACTGCACAGGCTAATTGGCCTAAAATCTTTCAGGCAAGTAGGATGAAGAAATTTAGGGATAAGGGAGATGACAGTATGGTTAATCGATTTAAGCATATGACCAGTATTAAAGAAAGAGAGAATAGCAGGAATGATGTCTCCTTTAAGGATATTCCAGAATCTTTGGAAGAACAGGGGTGGCATACCATCCTGTCCGGGAGCTTTCTCAGGCTGCATGGAAAAAAGTGCATTTTTTATCTCTTTCTTTTCTATTGGTTTAGTTAGCTTTGCATTCATCTCATGAGTTATGGAACAGGGGATACCCTCTAGAACCTCTGACATATCCCTCCTATCTCCACAAGTGAAAAGCTTTTGAAAATAATCAGAGATCTCAGAAACAACTTCCTCCTCATTCTCAGTCCACGAGCCATCCTCCCTCTGCAACTTTCTGATTTTATTGTTAGATCTCCTCCCTTTAACATGAGCATGGAAATACTTGGTGTTTTTTTCACCTTCTCTTAGCCAGTTAATTCTGGCTTTTTGGCTCCAGAAATTTTCTTCTTCAGAATAGGCTACTTTGAGTTAATGCTTAAGCTCAGCAATATCCTTTTTCCTATTCTCACAGTCTGAGTTTTTCACTCTTTCCAGCTCCTTCTTAATCTCCTCAATCCTACTTTTGGAATTGGCATTGAAAGTATTTCTCCATTTCAGAAGTTCAATCCTGCAGTTCCTAATCTTTCTAGTAACCTTAAACATACGGGATCCAACTTCCTCCTTTTGCCAAGCTCTTTCCACTACCTGGTACACCTTTTCCCTTTGAAGCCACCTTTTATCAAAAAAGAACCTCTTCTTCTTTTCCCCCCCCCTGTACTAGTGTTCAGACACAAGATACTATGGTAAGAGGCGTAAGTGTCAATATGCTGACAGCTAGCCTTATCAAAAGTCTGGTACCACTCCATACTTCCTAAACATCTGTCTAGTCTTTGCCTAACCTCACAATCATTATCCCAGTGATTACTCCAGGTCCAAGGATGACCCTCGAACCCAATGTCAATCAGATGATTATGAGCCAGGAAATCCTTAAAGTCTCTAAAGCTCCTCTCCTCTCTAGCCACACCACCCCACTTTTCCTCATTAGACAGAATATCATTGAAATCCCCTGCTATAAAAAATCTACTTCCCCACAATCTGCTTCTCTCTTTAAGGACCTCCCATTGATTCTTCCTGATTTGAGCATCACAACTCGCATACACACCTATAAACCACCAAGTACAATTGAGTTTCATATCCTCAATCTTGGCTTCAATGGTAAAAGCAGTTTGGTACACTGCAACCACTTGAGTGTCTTCCTTCCACAGCAAGGCCATCCCACCAGCCTTATGCATAGCTTCCACCACTGCACTATTATCAAACCTCAGGCTCCTAGCTATCCTATCAACTACTGGTTTTCTATTTTTGGTTTCACTTAAGAAGATAAGGTTTGGAGAGAGGAGGTTATTCATCTCCCTCAGATGGGGAACTGTCAAGGGGCTCCCCACTCCTTGACAGTTCCACACCAAGGCTCTCATAATTGCATGGGGGCCCTATTCAGGATGAGCCCCTCCTCCTTTCCCTCCCTCTCAAACTGGGTAAACTCCAACATGGATTTGGTCCTTTTACAAACTACCTGTTGGTGCTGCAAATCCTCCATCTCTTTATCACAAAGCAACACCTTCCTTTTACCATTCCCTATGAGGTTAAGATCCTGGTCAGACACCTCTTTTAAGGGCCTTCTAGTAACACCAGGAGACTTCAGTTTCATGAAGGACCTCTTAATCTGTTTCTTAACTGCCTCCTGGATCATACTACTAATAAGAGGATCTTCCTGGCTGTCTGTCTCCCCAACGCAATGATCCTGGGTCCTGACAGCTTGATCTATCCCTGGTGGTAACATGTCAAAGTCCTCCTCCCTCACTTCCACACTTGCTGGCTCTTGCCTCTCTCCCATTGAGGCATGATCATTCAGGCAAGTTCCCTGGTTCCCCAGGGCCCTTTGCTGATACCCATCATCAGAGCCTCTATCTTCTGTACTAACATCAAAATTCCTAGGTGTGCTACTATTTGTAACCCCCAATCTCTTCACCTCCCCTTCCTTATCCAGGGGTTGTTTAGCTCTATTTTCCTTATCTGCATTCTCAAGGAACTCCAAAAGCCTACCTCCTGCTTGCGTCCTGCTCCTTTCCTTCTCCACCAGCTCTCCATCCTGAAATTTCCAATATCTTTTGTCCTTGTTCAGATCAACTTTCAAAGATCTTTCCTTGCTAGGGCTTCTAATACTACCTGCTCTCATCCAGGGGCCATATTGGTTCTCAGAGAGCCTAGCCTCCGTAACTTTCTGCTCTTTACAAGATCTTTCATTATGACCTACCACTCCACAATTATAACAAAAGTCTGGACACCTCTCATACTTAAACACTACCCACTTAAACGTTCCTGCTGTTTGAACTACAGTACCTCTAAGGAGAGGTGCTGATAGGTCTACAAGGGCCAGGATTTTGAGATGTCTACCCTCTTTTCCCCCAGTCTGAGGTATAATAACCTCTCTCACTTCTTTAAAAACCGCACCAGTCTTCCTACCCACCTCCTTAGTTAGCCAATGTACAGGCAAGTTCCATAGTTGCACCCACAAGGGTGCTGTAGCAAAAGCTCCATAATTTTCTTCAATCCCTTCTGACCACCTCCTAAGAACCAGCACTTGGTTATCTATCACCCACGGACCCCCATCAACAATCCTATCTCTCTCCTCCAAATTTGGGATGTTAAACTGGTATAAATTGGGCCCTAATTCTATAACAGTCAAGTTTTTGGGGTAGCTCCAAGCAGCAGCAGCAAAGTTCTTTACCCCTGTAAAGTTGGCTACTTTTTCCCCTATAATTCTGCCTATCAAGCTTCCTTCACATTCTCTAACTCCACTGTTAAGATCCTCCGAATTCAACATAGCTCCAGCGAGCTCATTTCCAGCTAGGGAAAATTTCTGTAACAGCTCAGTCAACTCACCCTCCATAGATACTGACAGAGGTTCTAAAGAGTATAACCCTTCCACCCCACAAGGAACCAGAGTATAACGTCAACCAGATGGAGAAAGACTTACACAAGCACCAACTGAAGAAAAGGAAAAAAAAAAGAAACAAGGAACCAGAAAAAGACTACCAGAGCAACACTACCTTCGAGGACAAAAGCAAGGAAAGATGATACCAGGGCCATCAAGAGGACAAGTTTTAGCTTACCCAGGGCCATGGCATTTATGGTGCGAAGTGTTTCCTTTGGTCGGACACCCCTTTGAGAACTTGGGCCACCACTTAAAGATGCTTAGTGTTTCCTTTAGTCCGACATTCTCCACGAGCTATCATTAATAATAGTGCTGTATTACCTCTGTGTTGGATTCAGACCTAATGTGATCTGTAATTGGATTGTTTTCCATGAATGAAGAGTCGCGGGAATTGTGTTTTTTGAAAATGTTTGAAGAAGTTTGAACTTGCTGAAGTTCCCACCACTGGGGAAGGGAGGCTCTAATCCCAAGAGAGAGAGTTCCCTCTACACTGAGAGGATTTACTGCTTTCCACATCATTGTTCAATAGTGTATAAATGTTGATTATCTTGGTACTGTTCATCATTTTGATCAAATTTCTACCAATTGATAGCTTATGCATCAACATTGTCATATGCAATTTGCCATAGTTTCAGGAGCACACCAAAAAACATTTTTCAGCACGTACCAAAAAATTAAGGATAAATAACTTATAACCCCCTATGATTTTACATAATGTCATATGAGTCCCCTAAATTTTCAAAATAGCCACATAACTCCTTTATGCTTTTATGTAAAGTGGAAAACAGATGGAATGCGCAATCAGTCACGCATTTATATAAAAAATGCTCTAAAAACACGTATGATAAAATTTTAATCTCCATGTAACCCCCTTATAATTTGTATAAATATCCATTTTACCCTTAATAATTTTTGCTTTTATCCATGTAATCCCCTACGCTTTTATACAAGATAATTAAACCGTCGATTGATTTAACATTTAAGTAAGAGTACTATTGGTAATTCAATTAATGACATTACTTAGACAATTTTTCGTCAAGTTTTCACTTTACATAAAACTATGGGGGGTGAAGTGAATATTTTGAAACATTAAGGGAGTTATGTGGTAATAGATAAAATTACAAGGGGGTTTTATATAATTTAACCAAAATTAATTAAAATAAATCCACCCGTTCCACCATTCCTTTGTGTGTATTATGGTCAAAATTGCACACGATTAACCTCGTATCTTTTGAGCTTGCAATAAGGTTTTGCCTTCTTAGTAAACTGTATTTTATTTATTCAATCCAAATTATACTAGGTGATAGAATAAGAACAGTAGGTTATGCCTTCTAGAGAATTTGGCACTTCTTTTCTAGACAACTATTTATGTTTGAATGTGAAACACCTATTTTTCTAGGCAAATAAAAAATGGCTCCAAGTAGTTTCACTTGTTACTGTATAATCTCCCTATGAAAAACTGTCTTTCTTCTCTCTTAAAAAACTCTCTAACTAAAACATCCTCCAACCCTCCCATGGGAGAGATATCAGATTTTTTTCTTAATCTTTCTCCATGGTGGGAGCCTGTCTTCCGTATTTTTTTCTTTTTTGTGTGAATGAGTCTCTCTTATAATTTTTTTTAGTGAGAGTTTCTTCTCTTTTAGGATTTCATAGTTCTTAGACTTTTCTTGTCTACTAGGTTTCTTAGTGAGAGTTATAGGTAGTTTTTCTTTCACCTTTTTACTATTAGATCCAAGTTTTTTTAGGTTTCAATTATTAGATATAGAATTTCTTGGGTCTATTGGACACATTTCACGATAATATCTGAACTTGAAATAATTAATTAGTAGATCTAGCGATTAGAAACATGCACAGATGTTCTTGGGACAACAATTATTTTATCTTAATTTTTATTTGTTATTCGGATATGTAGTATCCATTCTTCTCAAATCGATTCTTTGATATTTATGTATGGTTAATGATGTAATTTCTATCATTAGTACGAATTTTAATGAAACTATGATGTTTTATTAGCTAAAAAAAAGGAGCACACCACAAAAGATTTTCTCAACACATACCAAAGAAACAAATTAAAATAAATACACCCTTTTTTTGTGATAGGAAAAAATTCACAAGGAAATGTTACTTCATTACAAGGTCAAGGTATGCTACTGTCTTATTTTCTAATGACTTACAATAGTTCTTACAGATCACAAATCAACATGAGATTGCTAGGAAGAAAAATTGCGGACACTTTTTCATTCTCTCTAGTCTGGTTTCCTTTTTTGGTAACTTGCGCTAGGGTTTTGTCCCGGATGCATGGAGGGTCCTCCGTGGCCGCCGCCGGCTGCAGGGGGTGCCGCGGCCTCCTCCAGGTCCTTCGCAGACGTGCTCGCTGGCCCTGGCCGGTTAGAGTCGAATATTCCGGATCTGGGGTGTTCCTCTTCGCATAGAGGGGAACCTGCGTTGCTTCTTTCTCAGAAGGAGTTGCTGCTTCTTTCTGCACCGTTTCAGAATGCGTTAGTCGGCAGGTTTCCCTTTCGCCGCCCACCTATGGAAGTCATTAGGCATTTTTTCGTTTCGCTAGGTCTGAAGGGGGCGTGTGATGTTGGCCTGCTAGATCTTAATCACGTCCTCATCAGGCCGTCGTCTGAGGAGGACTTTACAAGACTTTTCTTGCGCCGCTCCTGGGTCGTAAAGGGCGCGCAGATGCTGGTATCAAAGTGGACGCTCGATTTCAAAGCTCATCAGGATGCTACGTTCGCCCCTGTGTGGGTGTCCTTGCCGTCGCTTCCGTTGCCTTTGTTTAACAAGATGTACATTGCCAAACTGGCGGGTTTGCTGGGAAGATTTCTAAAGATTGACTCTGCGACTTTGGCGTTGAAGCGCCCGTCCGTGGCGAGGGTGCTCGTTGAGATGGATGTTTCGGTGTCTCCTCCACACCGTATTTGGATTGGAGAGGATCAGGAGGGTTTCTGGCAGTCGGTGGAGTACGAGAACTGGCCAAAATTTTGTGGGTTTTGCACTCGTTTTGGTCATGAAGTTGGGGAGTGTTTTAGGAAAAACCCAGATCTTATTCCTACCAAACCTCTAGGCAAGAAGGTTGACAAGGCAGTGGCGGTTTACAGACCTAAGGTAACCACTGGTCAGGCTACGTCTGCGCGGGCATGTCCGGATTTTGAACCTGGGGTGAATACCCATGATCTGGAGGTACCTAAGGCTGATATGGGTCAGGCGGCGCATACTCACGTGGAGGAGCATTGTGACCCGGGGTTAGCCAGCATGGAGGCAGCCGCTGGTGATCAGCCAATTTTGGAGGAAGTCCGTGGTGGTGCGGAGTTTGGTGGAGACTCGGTAGCTGTGGCTGGGCTTGAGGGTGTAGCCGCTGTGGCTTTGACAGATATGGATGCGCTGGAGATTGATTCCCCCCAGTTTTTAGTTTCGAGGACTGATGATTGCGAAAGGGAAGTAGGCGGGCAGGAGGCCAGGTGTGTGCCATCC